TCGGATACAAACCACCGCTTGGTCCACTCTAGCCTTCTTCAATGTGTATGCACCAACACATGCACCACATTAAATACATTAAAAACTAAACTGCATTAATATATGTTTAAATGCTTTTGTTGGCTGACATTAGCAAACATTGTGATGTTAAAGTTAAATCAAAAAGATCAGTTGCAGTATTTGACATCTTTTAGGTCTGATATTTGTATGGTGAGTTTGTTTTAGCTTCTGCTAGCTGACCTCTCCAGTGACAGTGCTGCATTATGCTTGGCTAAGGTTGAGTTTTACTGCTTTTTATTTGGAACCAAAGGTTAAATGATCCAAGATAAGTAACCTTTCATATGTTTCATACAGACATATACATACACATTACATACAGGAGTATTTAATTAAACTGGAAGTGGGAACATTTAAATGTGTGCGGTTCTTCCTACCTGAGATGTATTCTGGTTCACCAGTGCAGGTATAATGTAGTCCAGTTCAGAGACATTAAGATCACTACAGCTTCTATAGACCACCACCACCTCCTTTTCCATGGTTCAACTGTTTCACCTTCACATTCAAGAATCAAAGAGGCCAAGATGCTTATTGCTCTGCCCCTATGGAAGGCACAGGGGTTCAAAACTAACTACCAGGTGTTCATTTTGTGTGAGAGAGAGAACACCAAGTACCAGTGTTCAGGTGTCATGTGCATTTGTGAGGCTCGTTGGTCTAGGGGTATGATTCTCGCTTTGGGTGCGAGAGGTCCCGGGTTCAAATCCCGGACGAGCCCAAAACTTTAATACATTTACCTTCCATCATGGGTTTACTTTACAGTCTGGTTAGACTTAGCTTCCTAGTTGTTTCTATAATTTTTATCGTTCACATCCAGTTAATTGTGACTATACTGAATGACCTGCTGAATGACTTGCTGTGACCACCAGGGGGTGCTGTTTGACCAGACTGCTCTGAGACTCCAATCTGCCACATCACCAATTCTGGACTTTAAAATTGCAGGGTTACTATGGAAAAGGAACAGTTCTCACATATGTGGCTCGTTGGTCTAGGGGCATGATTCTCGCTTAGGGTGCGAGAGGTCCCGGGTTCAAATCCCGGACGAGCCCACATTTTTGCCCTCTTGAGACAAGGTTTTGCTTACTGCAAAGGACTCCCAGCATTAGATGGTGACAGGCTAACTAAAAATAGAAACAGTTTTCACCAGGGCCGGCCTACTGTAAACCAATACCAACTTCATAACTACTCTCACAGCTTAGCTTTGGCAGATTTAAAAACAAAAAAAATACATGCTTTTATGTGCAATTAACAAGTTCTAATTAAATAAAGTTTGCAAAATAATATGACATTTTTTGACTTTTTTTTTTAGACAAACATATGATGATAATATACAATAGCACCAACAAATAAGTGAGTAAGAGATAGTAGGGATGTGCTGTTTTTCTTATTATACAACATAAAATGTAAGAACTATTTCATGCCTCATCTTACCACGGTTGACATAGTGTTTATATTCGATTAATAATACCTAAAATACCTGGTTGATTAATACCGAAAACCTTATTTCCTTGTACGGCAACATCACTAGTCACCAGTTAACTCCTGATATGATAATATCACAGTATGAGACAGTGATGAGGATAGTATCACAGTAATGGTCTTTGGACAGGATGAAATAACTCTACGAGCCAAAAAAACCCCAAAACATGACTATTATTACGTGTCATTTTTCTTATTGGTGGCATCACCCAATAAGAAAAATTGCATATCCACAAATAAATTGATGAATAAATAAATACTTCCCGAAAGTAACACATAGGTCTTGGACAAAGGGTATGATTGTTGCTGTGAATGCAACAGCTCCTGGGTTCAAATCCTGAAAAAGCCATCACTGTTGACTTCTACGAAAGGGGAAATCTTCCATCACCACTGATACATATTCAAGACTACCAAAAGTTAGGCCCAAGGCGTTGCCATTAGTGATGGCTCGTTCGCGAACGAATCAGTTCGAACGAACGACTCTTTAAAGTGAACGAACTGACCTCATTCGCCGTTCTCGTTCGACTCGTTCGTCGTCGTTCGTCTCGTTCGCTGAGTCGCTGACGCGCTGCTGATTCACGAGTCGTTCGCTGACTGTGATTGACTCGAGGACTGAGATGTCACGACTCACGAGAGCCAGCCAATCATATGTTGTTGTCTGTCTGTTGAGTCTAGGACGCTTTCGAATGGTTGACACATTAACAATACCACTTTCACATTTGAATATTGCCTTTTACATTTAAATATCAGTGAAATGGTAAATGCATGCTGTCTTTGTATTTTCTGTGTCATGCCAGATTAATAAAATATTTGAATGTCTCGTCAATCTGTCTCGTTACACGCGACCCAGCCGGGACCCCCACCTTGGTGGATCTTGATCTTGAGTGGGGGTGGCCAATGGCCATCTTCACAATAGTAAATAAAATATGCCCAGAATAAACACAACTGTACATAATTAACTTTTAAACTCATCATTGCTAAATCAAGTCTATTATCTTGCTGATATATTAAACATCCAATAATCTACTACGCCCCCCCCCCCGCATCCCGCTGCGTTTGGTTTGTCTAACTTTACCTTGAATTGGGGGAATGGGGCATTTTGATCCTGACATGTCATTATGCATACATTAAATAAATCTGTTGAACTCAAATTAAATACATATGTTAACATATTCAACCAGACAGACACAATGTTGTATTTGCTATTATTCACACATTTATTAACAATCAACCCCCCTCCTCCCACCTTTCGGGATAAAGTGAGCTCGAGCTGACGTGCGGGGCCCGGGCAACAATATCCCGAATCCGAACACGAAGCGCTCCTCAGCTGAAAGGAACTTAGTTAATGTTGTGTTGATTGATAACCATTTGCACCATTGCACGATTGTGAATCGTGATTTCATGATTAGTTAGTAAATGAGAACGAGGGAGTCTGACCGAGACCGACTCAGCTGAGAACTGCATTCGTGATTCGTTTGAATGTTGTGAACGAGGGAGGAGCCGAGTCTGACCGACTCGGCTTGCATTCGCGATTTGCGAATGAGAACGAGAGTCGGAGGGAGGAGCTGAGTCCGAACGACTCAGTGAATGATTCACCGCTACCGGAAACACGACTGAACGAACGAACGAACGACTCTTTTTGGCGAACTGAACGACGCGAACTGATTCACGCAAACGAATCATGAAATCCATCACTAGTTGCCATCCCCCATGAAACATCTAGCAACATGATAACTCAACACAGGCTGAAACCAAACATTTGTGACTGAGATTGCCATCACTTGATTTGAATCAACTATATGGTATTTGGATCAGGACAGAGCAGGTTGCAAACGCTCTTCAAAATCTAATGTTGCTTTATTTTTAATAAACAATCTAAAAATGCTCTGTGATGCTATGAATAGGCAAGCGTTGGTACTTCTTTGTTTAGTTTTTTGTCTACACTTTTTGTAAATCTGTGTGCTGCACACTGAGTCCACCAGAGGGTGCTGTTTGACTGGAGAGCTCCGAGCCTTCAGTCCACCACATCACCGGTTGTGAGGTTTAAACTTCAGGTTCAGTCGAGACATGGACGGTATGGGAAGTTAACATGTGGGATACTTCGACAGGTATGATTTTTGCATAGGGTGCCAGAGGTCCCGGGTTCAAATCTCGGACGAGCCTCCCCCTTTCCTTGTATAATCATTCAGATGAACCAATCAATGGACAAAAAGGCGACTAGGTGAAACCATGTTCACAAGGGCATTTCCTGCTTTTAGAACTCTTTACAGAATACATTTCAGTAAGGTTAATCAAAAACCAAAACAAAGAAAAAATGAACACCTGCCACCAGCCAATGATGGAAAGATTTGACCATTACAGGACAGCTCTCATTCAGAATCAGCCAAATCTGGCAAACCTACTCAGCCCCATGTCCAAGATAACAGTGTGGGTGTCGCCTCCAGAGCTATGTCGAGCGTTCAAGATTGCCTGTATAGAATACATTTCAGTAAGGTTAATCGAAAACCACAACAGGGTCAAAAATGAACACCTTCCACCAGCCAATGATGGAAAGATTGCACCATTACAGGACAGCTCTCAATGAGAATCAGCCAAATCTGGTAAACCTACTTAGACCCAAGATAATTGTGTGGGCGTCGCTTCCAGAGCTATGTCGAGTGTTCAAGACTGCCTGTATAGGTGCTAGGCTGAGCTCTTTTTGAGCTTGTCATGGACACGTGACCATCTCCTAATTCTTGCATCTTCTGGCTCGTTGGGCTAGGGGTATGATTCTCGCTTAGGGTGCGAGAGGTCCTGGGTTCAAATCCCGGACGAGCCCGCTCCCTTTCTTTGCATAGTCGCTCAGATCAACTCAATAAATCATGTTAGTACTAGGTGAATCTGTGTTCACGAGAACTTTCACAACTCTTTACAGAATACATTTCAGTAAGGTTAATCGAAAACCAAAACAGAGTCAAAAATAAACACCTGTCACTAGCCAATGATGGAAAGATTTGACCGTTACAGGACATGAATTGAATTGAAATGTCTTTTCAATTTGGTTCACACCAGGTAGCCAACACATACACATTTGCACAAAAACACATAAAAACATGGAATGATAGATAAATAAAAACACATAAATACACATACACTATATATATATATATATATATATATATATATATATATATATATATATATATATATATAAAATAAAACATTTGCTGTGACATGGGCAGGGATGGAAGATGACCTATAGTTTGTTGAGAAACCCAACAGCTGATGGTACAAACAATCTCAGGTATCTGGACATGTCTCATTGAGATTGAGCCAGATCTGTTAAACCTACTTAGAACCAAGATAATTGTGAGGGCGTCGCTTCCAGACCTATGTTGAGTGTTCAAGACTGCCTTTATAGCTGCTAGGCTGAGGTCTTGTTGAGCCTGTCATGGACACGTGACCATCTCTGAAATTTAGCATCTTCTGGCTCGTTGATCTAGGGGTGTGATTCTCGCTTAGGGTGCGAGAGGGCCTGGGTTCAAATCCAGGATGAGCCCTTTCCCTTACCTTGCATAGTTGATAAGTTCAACTACTCAAAAATCAAGGTAGTACTAGGTGAAACTGTGATCGAAAGGGCAATTCCTGTTTTACAACTATTTACAGAATACATTTCAGTAAGGTTAATTGGAAACCAAAACAGGGTAAAAAATGAACACCTGCCACCAGCCAATGATGGAAAGATTTGACCATTATAGGACATGTCTCATTGAGAATCAGCCAGATCTGGTAAACCTACTTAGACCCAAGATAATTGGACGAGCCCTCTCCCTTTCCTTGCATAGTCGCTCAGATCAACTACTCAATAAAGCAAGTTAGTAGTAGGTGAATCCGTGTTCACAAGGGCATTTACAGCTTTTTGAACTCTTAGCTTTTTGAGAATCAGCCAAATCTGGTAAACCTACTTAGACCCATGTCCAAGAACATTTTGTGGGCGTCGCTTCCAGAGCTCTGTCCAGTGTTCAAGACTACCTGTATAGGTGCTAGGCTGAGGTCTTCTTGAGCTTATCATGGACATGTGACCATCTCTTAAAATCTACATCTTCTGGCTCGTTGGTCTAGGGGTATGATTCTCGCTTAGGGTGTGAGAGGGCCCGGGTTCAAATCCTGGACGAGCCCTTTCCCTTACCTTGCATAGTCGCTCAGTTCAACTACTCAATAAATCAAGGTAGTATTGGTGAAACTGTGTTCAAAAGGGCAATTCCTCCTCTTACAACTCTTTACAGAATACATTTCAATAAGGTTAACCGAAAACCAAAACAGGGTAAAAAATAAATACCTGCTACCAGCCAATGATGGAAAGATTTGACCAGCCAAATCTGGTAAACCTACTTAGACCCAAGATAATTGTGAGGGCGTCGCTTCCAGACCTATGTCGAGTGTTCAAGACTGCCTTGTATAGCTGCTAGGCTGAGCTCTTTTTGAGCTTGTCTTGGACACGTGACCATCTCTAAAAGTCTGCATCTTCTGGCTTGTTGGTCTAGGGCAGTGGTTCCCAAAGTGGGGGGGGGGCGCGAGACGCCGAGGGGTGGGTCGCGAAATGATTTTCATAAATCACATACATTTTGAAAAAAAAAAAAAAAATCAGCCATAGTTGTAAAAATTATAAAACATGGTAGTTCAAATTATAATTAGGGCCAGGACTTTAACACGTTAATTAAGATTAATTCATTACACAAAAATGAACGGGTTAAAACAATTGATGCATTTTAATGGCATCATCTGCAGGTGTCAGGTCACGTCCGGTTCCACAGTAGGAAGAACTAGCTCATTGATGAAAAATGAAGCGTTGGTTAATACCCAGCAAAAAAAAGGCAGAGAAGCCAGCGGAGGAGGCAGAGAGGCCAACGGAGAAGGCAGAGATGTCAGCGGAGGAGGCAGAGAAGCCAGCGGAGGAGGCAGAGAATCTAGCCGAGAGGGCAGAGGAGAGCGGAGAGTCGTCTTGGCCATCGACCTCTGGCGGTGGAAGAGGTGCCCGCCATAAGGGGGTCCATCAGCCTTCCTCCAAGTGTCGCAAGTATCGAGAGGAATACAGTATGGATTCACATGCGTCGTTGTCAACGAAATACAACATCCCCAATGTGTAGTGTGTACAGAGGTGCTTGCACATGAGAGCCTAAAGCCCGTAAAAATGCTCAGACACATGAAAACTAAGCACCCCTCTCTTGCCACTAAACCGCTAGATTTTTTCCGCAGAAAGGAGAAAGAGTTGCAAGGCCAAAAGAACATTCTAATAAATCAAACAACAATCCCAACGCTCAAAAGGCTTCATATGAGGTGGCATATTTAATTGCCCAGGCAAAAAAGCCACACACCATCGGGGAAACACTAATAAAACCAGCTGCCATCGCTATGAGTCACGCAATGCATGGGTATAAACTGGCCCGTGAGCTGGAATCGGTGCCGCTGTCTGACGGGACCATTTCCCGGCGCATCACCGATATGGCCCAGGACATAAAGAGTCAGCTGATGGACAGAGTGAAGAAAGGGAAATATGCTTTACAGTTAGACGAATCCACGGATGTGTCAAACTGTGCCCAGCTGCTTGTTTTCGTTAGATATAGTTTTGATGGAAAACTTAACGAGGACCTGCTATTTTGTGACCCGCTGGAGGGAACATGCACAGGCGAGGACATTTTCACAAAACTTGACAACAAACTGAAAGAAGAGGGACTGTCTTGGGATGAATGCATCGGTGTGTGTACAGACGGTGCTGGAGCAATGCTGGGGAAAAATAAAGGACTTAAAGCAAGAGTCTTACAAGTGGCGCCCAACATCAAATTCACGCACTGTATTATCCACAGAGAGGCTCTTGCGAGTAAAACGCTCGGCCCAGAGCTGAAAAGTGTTCTTGACACTGCAATAAAAATGGTCAACCACATTAAATCGCATCCACTCAACACCAGGCTGTTTGCCACTCTCTGCAACGAACTGGGATCGCAGCATGAGGGCCTGCTGTTCCACACCGAAGTCAGATGGCTTTCGCAGGGAAATGTTCTCAGCCACCTGTTTGAGCTGCGGGACGAGGTGCGCTTATTTCTGATGGAGCATGGATCCCAGCTCGCTGACCACCTGACTGACCCTGACTGGTTAACAAGGCTAGCGTATCTATCTTGCATTTTTGACAGACTGAATGGACTGAACCTGTCATTGCAAGGTGAAAACACAAGCATCATGTCAATGAGTGATAAAATCCGCGCATTCAAGAGAAAAGTGGATCGCTGGACTGCACGAGTTGAAATGGGCACGCTTGACATGTTTAATGAGCTGGACGAATTCATGGGAGAAAATTATCTGAGTGTTCACATTGTGAAGAGTTGTATAACTACCCACCTTCAAACCCTCCTGGAACACTTTGACAAGTATTTCCCTGAGGAAACGGCTCCGGAACAACATGACTGGATAAGATCACCATTCACTGTAACCACTGCAAGTCATCTGTCAGCCGGCATGGAGGACGCACTGGTTGAGCTGTCGTGTGATCGCACTTTAAAGACAGATTTTAATTCGAAGACGCTTGCTGAGTTCTGGATTTCAGTCGAGAGGGAATATCCACAGCTGTCCAAGGCCGCGATGGACGTACTGACGCCGTTTGGCTCGACATACCTGTGCGAAAAAACTTTCTCTGCACTGACGTATATTAAAAATAAATACAGATCACGTCTAAATGTGGAGGATGATCTCCGTGTGGCCGTCTCTGCAATTAAACCGAGAATTGACCTGCTGTGTTCCGCGCATAGCGCGCATCCCATCTCATTAGCTGAAATTTAGTTGCCAGCAACAATGTACATATGTTTACAACAGTTTGTGGATATTACCCAGAGATATTCTTCTGTTCAAATGGAAATAAAAGTTATGTTATAGTAAAGTTAAGGTAAAGTTAATGTTATAGTAAAGTTAAAGTTAAGTTAAGTTTGCACATAATAGTTCGACAGTAATACTATGCCCTCCTGTGTACATAGATCTTATTTTGACTGACGTATTCTGCTTTTATCAAACAGTAAATTTCTATGTGTAAAATCATAACAGGCTGCTCTGTTCTTTTGTGTTGTCGTTTAGCCCGTGTTTGGATGAGCCTAGTGCGTATGGCCTGTGCGCCCTTTTTTTTTTTTTTTCAGTCACATCCGGGGATGGTGGGGGTTGCCAGTCTCTGGCACCGTTATTTTGGGGGTCGCGGGTTGAGAAGTTTGGGAACCCTTGGTCTAGGGGTATGGTTCTCGCTTTGGGTGCGAGAGGTCCTCGGTTCAAATCCCGGATGAGCTCTCTCCCTTTCCTTGCATAGTCGCTCAGATCAACTACTCAATAAAGCAAGGTGGTACATGGTGAATTCCTGTTCACAAGGGCTTTCACACCATTTTGGACTCTTGCAGAATACATTTCAGTAAAGGTAATGGAAAACCACAGCAGGGTCAAAAATAAACACCAGCCACCAGCCAATGATGGAAAGATTTGACCATTACAGGACAGCTCTCATTGACAATCAGCCAAATCTGGTAAACCTACTTAGACCCATGTCCACCAGAAGTGTATGGGCATCGGCTCTAGAGCTCGGTCGAGCCTTCGAGACTGCCTGTATAGGTGCTCGTCTGAGCTCTTTTTGTGGTTGTTGTGGACATGGGACCATCTTTGAAGTTCAGCATCGTGTGGCTCTTTGGTCTAGGGGTATGATTCTCACTTAGGGTGCGAGAGGTCCCGGGTTCAAATCCCGGACGAGCCCTTTCCCTTACCTTGCATAGTCGCTCAGATCAACTACTCAATAAATCAAGGTAGTATTGGTGAAACTGTGTTCAAAAGGGCAATTCCTGCTTTTATAACTCGTTACAGAATACATTTCAGTAAAGGTAATGGAAAACCACAGCAGGGTCAAAAATAAACACCTGCCACCAGCCGATGATGGAAAGATTTGACCACTATAGGACAGCTCTCATTGAGAATCAGCCAGATCTGGTAAACCTACTTAGACCCAAGATAATTGTGAGGGCGTCGCTTCCAGACCTATGTCGACTGTTCAAGACTGCCTTGTATAGCTGCTAGGCTGAGCTCTTTTTGAGCTTGTCTTGGACATGTGACGATCTCTAAAAGACTGCATCTTCTGGCTCGTTGGTCTAGTGCAGGGGTTCCCAAACTTTTCCATGCCAAGGCCCCCCAAACAGCATTAGCTTCTGGCCGGGGACCCCCAAACCCACCGACAATGCTACAAAATATGTAAATAAACATCAACTTTTAGAATGTATTTTCTTACTTTTATTTACTATTCAATAATTATTACATTTGTTTAGCATAAGAAAATTATTAACGAACATCTTTTCAGCATATACAGAATACAGAATATACGGTATATTCTCAATTTTTGCAGCAGAGTCCTCCACAGCAGGGCTGTTGGTCTTCTCCTTCGGTCTATTTGTTGTCAAAAACCTGTCCATTTTGCGCTAGCTTGAGGAGCAGAGCAGCTTGATAACAACGGCCAGGTCTACACAGATTATGACGTCGTCATGCCGAACTTGCAGCTGAACTTGAGAATCCGACGATTACGGCAGTTTACGTGTTGTACGGTTCAGGACAAATTTTTATTTTTTTTATTTTTTTATTATTGATTTTATTTGTGTTATTATTATTTTTATTTTTTTATATTAAAAATTGTTGTTGTTTTTTTTTTGCATTTTTTTTTTCATCTTCCCTCCAATTTTCTGAGGCCCCCCTAGCGCCCCCTGGCGGCCCCCCAGGGGGCCGCGGCCCCCACTTTGAAAACCACTGGTCTAGTGGTATGATTCTCGCTTTGGGTGCGAGAGGTCCCGGGTTCGAATCCCCGACGACCCCTCTACCTTTCCTTGCAAAGTCGCTCAGATCTACTACTCAATAACGCAAGGTGGTACAAGGTGAATTCCTGTTCACAAGGGCTTTCACACCATTTTGGACTCTTGCAGAATACATTTCAGTAAAGGTAATGGAAAACCACAGCAGGGTCAAAAATGAACACCAGCCACCAGCCAATGATGGAAAGATTTGACCATTACAGGACAGCTCTCATTGACAATCAGCCAAATCTGGTAAACCTACTTAGACCCATGTCCAACATAAGTGTATGGGCATGGGCTCTAGAGCTTGGTCGAGCCTGCCTGTATAGGTGCTCGTCTGATCTCTTTTTGAGCTTGTCGTGGACATGGGACCATCTTTGAAGTTCTGCATCATGTGGCTCGTTGGTCTAGAGGTATGATTCTCGCTTCGGGTGTGAGAGGTCCCGGGTTCAAATCCCAGACAAGCCCTCTCCCTCGTCCAAAGATGTGGATACAGGACAACCGCTCCATACAGGAACATAGTACAAGGTGAAACTGTGTTCACAAGGTTATTTACTGCTATTACAACTCTTTACAGAATACATTTCAGTAAGGTTAATCGGAAACTAAAACAGCGTCAAAAATAAACACCTGCCACCAGCCAATGATGGAAAGATTTGACCATTATAGGACATGTCTCATTGAGAATCAGCCAGGGCCCAGTTTCCCGATAACGATGTACGATGCTTCTTTCGAACGATCGTTATTTTTTTCCGTGCGTTTCCCGAAACTCCTCTTAACATGAACGCGCGTGCACAGATCTAACGATTGATCATAGCCTTGTAACTGTCCACTGACACGGTGCTGAAATGGGCTCTGTAAGAGGGGGAGACGCAGAACGTTGTTACATAAAACTGTAACTTTTGTGGCAGCAAATAAATATCTCCCCATCAAGGTCAACAGCAGAGTAGCCTATGAAAATAATAGACTACAATAGCCTATATGAATGCAACAAATGTTACAACACAATTGATTAGGCCTATGCCGACATGCTATATTGCTAAACCGCCGCACAATTGTTCAATTAACCAATTGCTCACGTGAAGTCACACACCTATATAACACCCTCCGGAAACAGGTAAGGTCTTTAGCAAAATGGAGGACAAGGCTCGTAAGCGACGGGAAGCTTTTAAAGCTAGTGAAATGCATATTCTCCTTGAGGAGGTGGAGGCCAGCAAAGGGCTGTTATTTGACCGGTTCAGAGGCGCCCACACCAATAAACAGAAGGCGAAGAAGTGGGGAGAAATTGCGGAGAGAAATTGCGGAGAGAATTACTGCGGTCACTGGCATCCATCGGTCAGATTTAGAGGTTTGAAAAAAATGGCAGGACTTTGTAAGCCTCACAAAAAAAAAAGCGTCCGACCTCCGCCACCAGACTACCCGGACTGGTGCGGGGGTGAACACGGCGCAGCCCCTCAATGACGACGAAGAGAAAGCCATGGCCATCATAGGCTTCTCGGCCTCCCAAGGCATCCCCGGGGGAATTGATGTACACGCGGGCGCGGGTATAAGGAATCCTTCAGGGGAGCCACGGCAGGAGGCTGAACTTGAAGAACCCATCCCCCACCAGTCCACCTCCGCTGCTCCCACCTCCTCACCCATCATGACCTCCCTCACCGCACCTTCCACCTCCGCTGCTCCCACCTCCTCACCCATCATGACCTCCCGCACCGCATCTTCCACCTCCGCTGCTGTCACCTCCTTACCCGTCGTCACCTCCTTACCCGTCGTCTCGGCTGCCCACACAACTCCTTCCACCGCCTCAACTGTCACTGCGTCCATCGCCGCTTTAAACAGCTGCCAATGCAGCCAAGACCTGGTGGAGTTGGAGAGGGAGAAGGTTGGGCTGCTAAAAGACGTCTGCGGTCTTTTAAAGGAAGCCGCCGACCGAGACAAGGCCTTCCAAGATGAAATCATCATTTTGAAGAGGGCCAAACTAAACATTGCTGCACGTCGGCTTGCCCTCAAGGAGTCAATCAGACTCCCACAGCACCAAGGTAATGCATATTTTCAATACATTTTAAGGTATTTCATGTGGATGTTGGGAAAGTTAAATTACCTGTGAACACGTTTTCATGAGGCATTTGTGTTCTCTCTCTAGATGGCCAAGCTGACTGAAGGACTGAGTGCTTCTTTTTTTGTTTTGTTTAGACACGGACAGCAAATCCGACCGAACAATTAAAAAAAAACTTTGGTTTGTCAAACCTGATGTGCATTTGTCATTCTTGTATTCACGACGCAGTCGTAACAGTGTGAACATCATGAAATTACTATGTTTGTCAATTGCAGCCTGATATGAAGCGCAAAGGTCTCCACAAATCATATCATACACTTCAGTGGCCGCAGTGGATGAGCGGCTGTGGTGCTTTTAATGTCGAAAATATGTGCATGCTCTCGTGAGAAAAATGTTAACATGACGTGGTTTAAATCCTTGAACAAAAAAAGATTAGTCTGGCTTCATAGCGTCATTACAAAGCAACGTTGTCCATAGACTTTGCCAATACAATTAGGCTGCATAAGGGAGGGAACAGACATGTTATAGATATACTTTATTGATCCCAAGCTGGGAAATTGCAGTGTAGCAGCAGCATTACACACAGTAACAACACAATGAATTAAAGAACAAAATGCAATATAAAAAATGTATACAAATGTATAAATAAATGTAAGTAAAAATATTACAAAATAGAAGGTGCAGTGAACACATTATGTACAAACATAAGGTGCTAATGGCCTTATGAGTCCTTTGGCCTCTTCATTGCTTTGTCCCAGTTACCCAGTGAGTGTGGTTGATTGGTAATGGTAATAGTAATTGGTAATGATTATTTGGTAATTGTGTTGTGGAGTAGGCATCCAATTAACATTATTTGTTGACAGCTTGTATTAATTACTCTAGGAACCTAGGCCTATATAGTGCAAGGGACAATGCAGTATGTCAGAGCAAATAATGGCTGGTAGACAGCGTGTGCTAGCGCTCCGTGCGCAAGAGAGAGAGAGAGAGCGAGAGAGAGAGAGGCGGAGGCCGAGGCGTCTCCGGAGTTGCCTTGTAGCAATTAATGCTACAATTCGGCAAACATTTGACCCCCTCGAGGTCTACAATGACGCGGCAGTAGTTCAACGTTACAGGCTGCCCAGGGAGGCCATCAGAGATCTGCTTGCCACTGTGGAGGGTGTTTGTAGAGTGTGTGTTGTTGATGGCTGGTTTACAGCCTCACCTGGCCTGAGTCAGACTAATTGGACTCTGGCTGGGTGGGGCTGCACACCAGTGGTGCATGAGCAATCATGGCACCCAGGATAAACCAGCCATCAACACACACACTCGAAGAGGAGCCAGTCATGACAAGTTGTACCATCAGCTCGGCGTATAACATCCTGCCTTAATCTCCGAATAAACACCTTGAACAACATCTACCCGTGTCCTGTGTCGGAGGGCCCC